GGCGGATGCAGGATTTAGCGGTACGTGGAAGTCCTCAGCTCAAATGGTGGGGCTGAGGTGAGAAATTTTAAGAATATGGACCAATGGTTCTCAGAAATTGCACTCTTTACATTAAAAATTTTACCGGTACTATATTTTCATAATGATAAAATTGATAATTAACAATACAATACAACAATTATATTTCTCAATATAATTTAGGGGGTGCCATCGCACCTTTTTGCATCCGCCCCAGGTATCCACCAAAGCAACCAAAACGTAGCCACCGTATCCACCAGAGTGTATTCACCGATACGTATACTGTAATAGGAGTCGTTACTTCGGCCTGTTTTAATGCGCCGCTGCAGGGCTAATTATCCACCACACAGGATAACAAAATAATAAACTAATCCAGCCTACCACACAGGCTCCACTTATCACATTCACAGGATTGACTTAGTAGTTTCGAAGGCCTACCACACAAGGTTCTACCAAGGCAGGATCAACTGCATTCGTCAGACTTCAGAAAATCTCACTGCTCTTAGCCATAGGCGTACACTCACCCCCCCCCCCCCCTCCAATGAAAAATACTTTTCTACGCCACTGCTCTTAGCTAGCGAGAACCCTAATCACTAATTACACTTATATAACAATTGTGTATTACCTGACCCACTAAATTATTTCGTATTTTACTTCTTCTGTAGCTTCTGCCCTTATAAATTCTCTTAACTCGGTGACTCCTCTCGATTCGTCTTTCTCTCACCAACTTCAAAAGTAGTATGTACTCCGCTTAGGGTTATTTCATTCCTCGAAAAGGGGTGTGAACCTATTCCATTATGGAATAGGGGTGTGGTAGATTCTATCATTAAATTTGCTACAGTATCATACGGTTAAACGCCCCCTAAGGAGGAAAGTCTATTGGGGAGGAATGTAGTGCCGCTGAACTGGTGATTGGTTGCACGTCCAGTGTGACCATTGCTTGGGTATTTACCCAAGATCTTGGGTATTTTGACTTGGTCTTGGGTTCTTGGGTATTCCGTTCAAATCCTTGGTTATTTTATTTTTACTAAGAAAATTAAATATTTTTGTCATAGAGGAAGAATTAAAAAGTAACAAAGTATATGTCAGTCCATTCAAGTAAGCAAAACTCAACGAAGTGCACATAACATTGTTAATTGAATGTTAATTGCTATAAACATGGGTTCAGAATTGTTTATTTCTGATTTGCGTTGCCATTGATCTTACCTAATTAATGCATTACATAATAAAACTTGAACACTGATCTACTGATAACACTGGCAGACTGAGGGCGTATTTTTCTATCTGTATTATCACCTCATGAATATTAATTTTAATAATTAACACAAACAATTATAATAAAAAATGGTTTATAAATTGAACTAAAAGGGAAACTATACATGCGAAAAACACATTTTTTTTTTTCAAATTTTAATGCATTTTCAGGAAGCTTGAGTAATTTTGAGCAATATTTGCTGAATCTTGGGAAATTTCGTCCCAGACATTGGGTATATCAAAAATTGTGAGTGGTCACGCTGTGCACGTCATCTCTGCGTAGTCGGCAACTCGGAAAGGATACCTGAAGTAATACTCTATACAAAGACATCGAATATTAAATACTACGATACGAGGACGGTGCCGTAGGAGCCAAAAATGTAAGATATGCCTTCCTATGCAACTTCATCTTGTGGGTAAAGCCGGGCACTCACTGCGTTGTACGACCGTCGCACGACGAATCCACGTGCTTCCGGCGAGGAATAGACGACGCAACGCCTTCTGCTGATTATCAGTGGCAGTGTCTGAATCCTCATTAAAAGAGAACTAGCAAAATGATTTTTTGTTCTAGATTGGATATTTGATATGTCATTAATAATAGAATCAACCTTAAAATCGTTCTTTGGCTATTTTTTATGAAGTTATAGACGATTATATACGATTTTACCATGACGTCACTGGCGAAAAAGTAACGAAAGACCGTGTAAATAGTGCCGCGTAGGGTATCCATTGCGTAGGGTATCCGCCGCGTACGATCATTGCGTGCATGCTGTAACAATCACAATTTACAGCCATGGTTACAGCGTACACGCAAAGATCGTACGCAGCGGATACCCTACGCGGCGCTATTTACACGATCTTTTGTTACTCTTTCGCCAGTGACGTCATAGTAAAATTGTATATAATTGCCTATAACTTCATTAAAAAAAGGCCAAAAAACGATTTTAAGGTTGATTCTATTATTAATGGCATATCAAAAATCCTCTCTAGAACAAAAAATCATTTTGCTAGTTCTCTTTTAAAAGAGTGATCCATTGGGTCCGCGCGCGTAATGTGTTGGTCGCAAAATACGCGGGCGTTATATGACGTTACGGTGGTTGGAATGTGGAGATTACAGTAAAGTATATCGCTATTACAATCACAATTATTATCATCACAATTATCGCAATCATCATCTTCAATCTCGTGTCTGTCGTCATCGCCGCTAACATTTTAGTGCCTTGTCAATTTCCAAAATTATTAAGCAGTCAATTATTTCATCATTATCGCAATCTCTGCACACATTCCGATCTCTCAACACATGGTCTATCAGAAAGCCGTTGTTTGTAACCGAAAAGGTTGAGTGACAACGGACCATTAACAAATCGAGGAAGAACGATTAAAGGGATTTCCTAAATTATGTCCTCATCACTACCACCGTGACCATCAGTATTATTGGTACAGTACATCATTATATTGTGCTATTATTATTGCTGTATTGTTCGTAAAACTTGGTTGCCATAGAATCGCTACACGTTATCACCAATTCTTTTCGGTGACGCTCATTGGTCGATCGAGTCGGATAGCGCCAGTGACAACTACGCAGTGCAACTTTGAAAACGCTTTAGCGATAGTGTAGCGATTTTGGGAAACGAATCTTTAGGAGAGGATGAAAAATACTCAGAAGAATGTGGTAAAAGCAATTTGGGTTCAATATGTACTACTACTTTATTCATATCTTCAGAAAATTATTATAGTATTTTCAATACAAGTTATATTTCCAAGGCATTAATAATTGACAGAGCATTACTCGAATTCACTGCTAACATTTTATTTTATTCTAATAACAATGGTATAACTTAACAATGATACTCAATAATAAGGAAAACTTTCAAGTCAATCAAATTAAAAATCGCCCAACCAGAAGAGTTAGCACTTGTCACACAAACACACGTTCTGTCCCACACAAAAACACATGTGATGTCCCACAACAACATACGTGTATGCGTAGGTTTACACTAGGGAGCTTTCGATTGCACGACGACGGTATGATGTAATGACGTCACTAAAAGACATCTGCGCATGCAAAAACGATAAGTTCCCTCGTCGCTTAGATTTTAGAACGTAATTTGGCCAAACGTATGTAGAGACGCCCGATAGGACAGTCACGCATGAGTAATTCCGTTATAGCGTCGCATCATGGCGCAAATCGAAAGCGCCCTATGGACGTTTCCGCTAATTGTTGCTGAAGCCCCACAAAACGGCAGTATTAAAACATACACAAACACGTGCGTTTGTGGGACAACAATCGGTTTGTGAGACATGCGCGTATTCCAAGCGGTGTTCTAATTGGTCAGTTGTTAAGTTGGATTGACACTCTGGAAAGGTCTATTATCATTTTGTGAGACAAAAGTACAGTAGTAATTCTTAAAGTAGTGACCACCAAAGCATTGTGAATATATAAAATTTATATTTATATTAGTATATTTTTTTAGTACATTACATTTAATACATAGGAATGACACTGTTACCATAGTTATGGCAAATTTCATCCTGGAATTTACATTTAATTTATAGTAAATTTCATCTATTTATAAAAAGTGTATTTCTATGTTTTATTTAGGAAAATAATCACATTAATTTTGAATATATAATTTAAGGAATGTTCCAAGTATTAAATAAATTATATCATTAAGAGTGAGACACAAGTCTGTTATTCTTATTCTTTTCTCATTTTAATTGCGGACGCTACCACAAATGAGAAAGTTAATTTAGAGATTTAGAGACAATCCGAAAAAGAAATTGATTATGGGACGTCAACTAAATTAGGTATGGCACGCACTAAGTGCAATAAATAGTGTAACCCAAAATTAGGGCCTGACACCAAGGCTAGTCTAGCTTAAGCTCATTTGCTAGCAACACATTCTCATATAAATTCCATCTTGGGTCAGACGATTTTACTAATTTCGAGGTAAGATTCAAAAAATATAAACTGGCATATGTCGTTCATCAATTAAACTAACTACATCACATCAAGGCACACAGTATCACACCAAGGCTTGTTTTGAATATATACATGTACATATAACAGAAGGATGTGTCTACATCAAATATATATTAATATTAAGTGCTGTCACTAGAAAACGTTTTAAATGGATGGAATGATATATCCGAAACATTGTAACATTTTATATTATTTATAATCAAATTTCTGAATAATTCGTTTACACAACATTGTAACATTACAGTCTATTTTACCTCTACCACCTAACAACTCTACACACTTTTTAAGAATAACGCGGCTCCTGTTTGTATCCACAATTCTTGGTTGCCGCCACATGGTAACGTCAGCTTAGTGACGATCTTCTCCCTCTCGGCTGAGAAGTATACAGGCAGGGAGATGCACTCGCTGGGGCTGTACGGATCACTCGTGTCCTTAGCTACCCAGGCTACCGTACAAGCAGGCACAGAGGACACGCTGGGGGAGTTAGGCTGGTTGCCTGTCAACATGTTTCCATCAAAGGTACAGCCCTCGAGCTGGAGTCCTCCAATCTGAAAGATTATGATATAGTTTCGAGATTCAAGTTTTGCTCTTGTAATCAATATTAAATTTATTTGTCCTGTACCAATAACATTAGATATTAAAACGTAGATTTAACATTTATTCTCTTTTAGATACTTTCCGTTAACATCTACTATATAAACAATGGTAAAAGCAAGTCTGTTATTCTTATTCTTTTCTCATTTTAATTGCGGACGCTACCACAAATGAGAAAGTTAATTTAGAGATTTAGAGACAATCCGAAAAAGAAATTGATTATGGGACGTCAACTAAATTAGGTATGGCACGCACTAAGTGCAATAAATAGTGTAACCCAAAATTAGGGCCTGACACCAAGGCTAGTCTAGCTTAAGCTCATTTGCTAGCAACACATTCTCATATAAATTCCATCTTGGGTCAGACGATTTTACTAATTTCGAGGTAAGATTCAAAAAATATAAACTGGCATATGTCGTTCATCAATTAAACTAACTACATCACATCAAGGCACACAGTATCACACCAAGGCTTGTTTTGAATATATACATGTACATATAACAGAAGGATGTGTCTACATCAAATATATATTAATATTAAGTGCTGTCACTAGAAAACGTTTTAAATGGATGGAATGATATATCCGAAACATTGTAACATTTTATATTATTTATAATCAAATTTCTGAATAATTCGTTTACACAACATTGTAACATTACAGTCTATTTTACCTCTACCACCTAACAACTCTACACACTTTTTAAGAATAACGCGGCTCCTGTTTGTATCCACAATTCTTGGTTGCCGCCACATGGTAACGTCAGCTTAGTGACGATCTTCTCCCTCTCGGCTGAGAAGTATACAGGCAGGGAGATGCACTCGCTGGGGCTGTACGGATCACTCGTGTCCTTAGCTACCCAGGCTACCGTACAAGCAGGCACAGAGGACACGCTGGGGGAGTTAGGCTGGTTGCCTGTCAACATGTTTCCATCAAAGGTACAGCCCTCGAGCTGGAGTCCTCCAATCTGAAAGATTATGATATACTTTTGAGATTCAATTTTTGCTCTTGTAAATCAATATTAAATTTATTTGTCCTGTACCAATAACATTAGATATTAAAACATAGATTTAACATTTATTCTCTTTTTAGATACTTTCCGTTAACATCTACTATATAAACAATGGTAAAAGATAAAGCTATATTAATAATTATGACAATAACAATGATATTAATAACAGCAACAATATCTATAAAATTAGTAATATCTACAGTAACATCAATGGCAGCAATACAATTACCTTTACTGATTGTTTGGTACCAGGGATTCCTCCTGCCCATTTGCAGACAAATTTCAGCCCATCCATGGACGACTTGCTCTCTCTGGTGGAGAAAAGAAATTATTACATAAAATTAAAAAGTTGCAAGTTTGTATATTTCATTATTATTACCATTAACAGCATCATCATTATCATCTGTCATCATTATTATTATCAGCATCATCACCCTTATTGTCAGTAGGTGCAATAATTTGTTTAGAATTTCACCTAATTTCAATTTATTTTAATTTTTTGTTTTTATTATTTTATTCAGCTTAAGGCCAATGATGCCAAACAGTAGACTTTAAAGTGGCAATCCTGTCATGAGATAAACTAACACACAAGATGCACTACATAATAGACCAAGTCCCTTCGGGAATGGAATTGAACGGTGACAGGAATTGAACCCAGGACCTTGGCATTGGAAAGCAAGCATCTTAACCACTATACTATTCAACTCCACTCCAAATTCAGACATTTATATATCAATTTTTTTTAATATTGATATAATATAATACTTTTAAAATTGTGAAAAGAATCAATGAAAGCATCAAACCTTGCTGTTTGCTGACGAAGAGCATTCAGGAATGTGTCTGGGTGGAAAAGTTCTGAGAGATCCACGGTGTCAGATAAAAGAGAATTGGATTGCACCTTCTGCACCCACCCCTGTAAAGCAATGGTACGTGCCACTAAGGTCCTCAGGTAGTGGATTGGGTCTTCTGGACCATCCCACTTCTTCTGCCAAGTAACAGGTACCTATAATAAAAATATAAAAAAGTATGATAAAATATTGTTTCTTGTGTATGACAAAAATTTAATAATGTTTTATACATAGTGCATGACAAAGAAGAGTTTTCTTTAATATGAAACACACCATTGATAGATAACCAACGTAAATTTTCAGTGGGGTCCTTCTAATGATGAATTGGGTTGTACACCGGGGGACATTTGCCTACTTTTTTTAGAAATTTGCACTACGTTAACATGCACATGGGCCATTGCATATCAGACCAACAATTTCAATGATAGATGATGCACAATACAAGTGCCTTTCAGCCCTCGCCAGTGAAACACAAAGTGAGCAGTGATGGAATTTACCAGGGACCACAGTTATCTAGGAATCTCCCTGGTCCAGCGCACATACTGTGGCTACTACTAACTTAGCCAAATGACATACTGCCCTCACAGTCTCACAAACATACCTCTTGGTTTAAAAGACTCATAGCAAGAGCACTAACTTCACTGGTTAGTAGAATCGAGCCTCGGATCACTTTACTAAGGCTAGCCAGAGTAGAGTGGACGTACTGGACAAGTTGAATGGCATTATAGTGTTCCAGTAGGATGAAGGAATTAATCGGTGGTTCAGTTCCGGACTTGTCTGTTGGCAGCTGAACCTTAGCATGGATAAGCTGTGAACCCTACAAAAAAGAATTAAAAATACAAGAGAGGTTGAAAAAAGAATTTAAAAAAATAAAAAAATAAATAAAAATATTAAAAAAATAAAAAATAAATTTTAAAAAATAAATAAATAAAAAAATAAAATAAATGCATTTTAAAAATATAAATAAATATAATAATATACTTAAAATCTGTTTGGTGGTGAACTGACCTGCTGATAATGATGATGATGATAATAATAATGCTAAAGCCTCAATATGCTAGCTTTACGATCAAACAAAAACTCTTACCTGGTTTAATTTCTTCCACAGAGACAGCACAGGTGAAAGTTCACTCGACCATTTCTCTTTATCAAATTTGCCAGCTTCTACATCCAGCCGTCGGAGGACCTTCAGCTGTGATATAACCTGTCCACTTATAAAGCGCTGCGTTGAGCGTTCAATGTTTGCAGGCAAACCAAAGAATGATGGCTTGTCATTCTCGGGGAAGTTTGCAACAAGATCTGTGAAGTCCTGTTTTAAAGATGGAAGTTACAATTTTACTTTGTAAAAAAAAAACCCAATAAGCTTTCCATCTGATCAACATGACAAGATTCCACATAAAATGTGCGAATGATTAAGATAGTATCATTAGCTATTAGTGCTTCTATCAATAGTTTAGGCATACTGATTGTTTCAAACACGCATTAACAAAACTGACTTAGCATACCTTGTAGTAACAAGTGGTAGGAAGGGATATATTCGCTGTTAGTTTCTTGCGTGCCTTACCCCCACTCAACACATCCTTGTTAAAATACTGAGTGAGGTACGACTGTAACACTCGCAAATCAAATGTGTTGTCGACTCGGCCACCATAAATTGCATTCTCAAATAAGCCATGTATAAAGTCCCAAGAAACGTCTTTCACTATGAGAAGAAAAATATTCAACATAATATGACAAATGCTTAACTACAAATAAATTATAAATTAAATATGAAAACACAAGAACTACAAAACAAGATTAAACAACATAGTGTAATCAGCACTACTAATTTCATTTCGAATCATTTATCTCCTACCAGGTACACATTTATACTCCTGGGTAAAGAGAGGCAAATACAGATAAAGTGTCTTGACTAAGGACACACGCAGTGTGATGAGCATCGGTCTCGGACCCCCGAACTTCCGATTGTAAGCCTGACGCCTTACATGCTGCGTCACAAGTTTCTACAATGCCATAAGTTGCAATGAGCAAAGTATCTGAGAAACAACTTACAGGACTTCGAGCAGATTCTGTCTATGATGTCAGCCCCAGCTCTGAGGTCTGACATGGAGAATTCATAGAACTTTGTCCATCCTTGTGGAATGAAATTTCTTCTCTCTTGACAGACGGCGTGGAACCATGCCAGAGCAAAAAGAGCTTGTGCACGAATGACATTGTTATTCTTGCCGACGAAGTCTGTTGACCAGGAATCGTAGCTACGCTGGAGGTTCTTTTTGATGCCTGGTGGTGCCTAGAAAAACAAAATATACATTTTAAAAAACACAATAAATAACTAATTATTTATATCTAAATATTTAGTTATTCCGAACGCAAAGAGTACAATGAAAGACTATGTGGTGAAGAGCATACGTTATGTAAGGACACTTCCATTATTTTTCGAGGGGTGTCAGATTATCTTGCAAAGAAATAAATTCATAATAATAATACATTTTAAATAGAACTGTGACTTGATGTTTAATGCGCTTGTCATCAAAACCCAGTGTTTAAATCCAGTCAAAACCAGGATTTTTTACTCCCCAGCCCCATATATGGGAAGTCATTCCCTAAAAACTAGGTGGAGATAATACAAATTGGTTTACTGTATTCTGTTACCTCATAGGTCACTTTCAGACTGGACTGCAACAAGATGGTTGGGAACTTGGGGTGGCTCTCAGCAGTCAGCCACAACCTGAAGCTGTCATGGGTTACAAGAGAGTTCAGCTCCTAAGGAGGTAAAACAAAAATTAGTGTTTGCTGTGAAGACATTAAGTCAGTAACATGATAACTTTGGTAGTGACTATGATGATGATAGTGACAGCGATGGCACTGATGATAGTGATGTTAAATACAATATGCTGATGGTGATGATGTCACGGCTATGATTACAGTGATTGGTAGAATGATGCCAATGGCTGATTGATCGTCATATTCAATGTAATAATGACAATGATTATAGTTGATGAGAAAAGTGTTCAGTGTGATCTTGATGATTATGGTGATCAATGATGATGATCAAAATGATAATGATGATGATCACAATGATAATGATGATGATGATGATGATGA